CTGGTGACCCTTTCTAAATGTTTATAAAAAGGAATTTTTCCCCCCCCAGTATTTTAAAAGAGGAATCAGGACCTCCTTTTCCTCCTGCGGGGTGACCCCTCTAGTGATATAAAATCTAAAAAGGGGAAATCGGACCTCCATTTCCCCCAGCTGGAGCCCCCCCCTAGTGAAAATAAAGTCTAAAAGGGGGAAATCAGGACCTCCTTCCCCCCTCCTGGGGACCCTCTGTGTATAAAATTTTATTTTGGGGAATCAGGACCCCCCTTTTCCCCCCTGCTGGGGGAACCCCTCTAGTGATATAAATATTATAAAAAAGGGAATTTTTTCCCCCCAGGGGGGCCTTCAGGGAAAATCACCCAGCAAAAAATTTTCACCCTGACCAAACCAATCCTTTTTATTTAAATTTTAACCAAAATTACTGTAAAATTTTAAATAGAACAGCACCTTAGTTACAGAGCCTTGTTCTAACACCAGTAGTGATGTGGTCTCCTGTTCTAGAATGAACCCTCTTTACAACACACTACTCTGGTATCTATCATTTAGCCAGTTGTGTGTAGCCACTACAGTGCATCCAGAAAGTCTTCCCAGCGCGTGAACTTTTGGCCACATTTTGTTTCTGTTACAGACTGATTCCAAAATGGATGAAATTCATATTTTTTCCTCCAACATTCTCAACAAACAATACCCCATTATCGATGACAATAGGAAAAAAAAAAGTTTTTTTGAAATCTTTTACAATGTATTTACAGTAAACAAACTACAAACTAAAAAAGAAACCCCCTTGTACAATTAAGTATTTTGGAGAGTTCTCCATCCTCCCTGAGTATAACAACCGGTATATAAGATCATTCTCTTATCTGGCTGCATGAAGGAATCCCCTGGGCTCAGGGGGTCCTCGATGCCTAACCACAGTAAAGTTGATCAGTCCCGGTAATGAGCTTATGAGGTTTCCCACCAGGTGCTGTCGTCTTTCCCCATAACTGGCCCGGGAGGTGTAGGAATTACTCACTCAGTCACTCTCCTTGTGAGCTGGTGTAGGTAGTTGGCTGGCCTTTAGGTCTATCTGGCTGGCCGACTCCTTTCCTGGCTTCTACAGGTGGGGCATTGCTTTGGGTGCCAGAGCAGGAAGAGCGATCTCTCCTTTCCATCTTCGGCCTGTAGGTAGACTACTTCAATTGTGGGCTTCCCACACATCTTTCCAACCCGAACTCTGCTGCAGCTGAGTCGGGCTCAGTCAGTCACACATATGGGCCTGGACCCATGCCAAGCCTCCTGCTTGGGGACTGTCCAGAGTTCCTTCAGTAGGCCGAACCAGCCCCGTCCTCATTCCCGCTCACTTGCTTCTAGAATCTTCTCCCTAAATTCTAGGAGCAGGGGGAGGCAATCCAAGGGCAGTGATGCAGCCGAGCCTCTCAGCCCTGACCTACAATTTGGGACTCCAGCTGACTATCACCCAGGGTTGCTGCTGATCTCTTTTCTAACCTAAAACACCTAACTACTCTCCACCCTAGCTAACTAGGAGAGGTACTACATGAGGTATTCCACGGAACCACCCCAGGGATAAGCACAACTTTTGTAATTAGAGTCTTTATGCGGAACTGTGATCAAATGCTTAGCTAGGGTAGGCCTGTGTCCACAGCAATATTGGTAATATATTAATAAAAAAATTAGTTAGATTAGTCTGACTATTGATCTGCCACCAGTAAAAGCATGGCTGCTTGGGGTCCAGCGATATTGTGTGTTTGTTTAAGTGATCATGGAACCTTCTTTTCAGGAGTGATTTCCTTTAAACTTGACTAGAACCCGATGTTTAAACTCATTGGCCTGTAAATTGTCCACACTTGTACCCTCGCTGCTCCTTCATGTGGGATTAGGTACAATAATTAAACTGTCTTGCCAGTCATGGGGAACTTTTCCTCTTTAGAAGAGATTGATTACATAAAGATCCATTAAATGGTATCCGCAACTAGACCTCAAAGTTCTCTCAGCACCTGGGATGATTCATCACACGGCCCATTGCTTATTTAAAGCTCTAATACCGAGTCCAGTTCCGTCTGCTACCTCTTGCCGTTCCCGGCCGAAATCCTAAAAATGAACCATCATTATATAGGGCCCATGCACACTGGGCGAGTGTAATAACGATGGGCAGCATTATCTGTGTAAAATAGTTTATTCCAGCGGTTTTTGTTTAGTGTACACACGAAAACACATATATTTTTCGCCCTACAAAAAAAAAAAGGTCCAAAAACGCAGTTTTGCCACGTTAGAGTGTTTTTAACAGCTAAAACAAAATGCTCTAGAAACCCACTATCTCTGACGGGGTGTTTTCAGCCAAACAATGCATGATTCAAACCTATGTGTGCATAGATACATCGATGATCGGGAAAAGCAGGGAGTTCACCGGATGTAGATACCTCCAAAAGCCACCAAACAGCCGCTACTCAAAACCGTCCCGTTGTGCATGATGGACTAAGAACTACTATGATTTCTGACTGGGAAAGACTGAACAGAAGTACTATTGTTTAAATGGTTTGCTACATCCAGCCCTCAACTGCACATACAGTTGTGTTCAACATAATAGCAAGACAGACATCACTTCAACCGGATCAATCACTGTTTTTTGGTAGAAATGATATCTCTACATGGCAAATAATTTCCCTAGCACGGTGTAGTAGAGTATATAGAGAATTCCAACTGACCCAACAGTCAAGACATGCATGCTGCTGATTTTCTGTGTCCATTGTATCCACTCATTGAAAGGGGGCGTGTTCTCAAACATAATTAGCTAGTGTCGGAGTTCTATTAGTGAGGTCCATTCAGTCTTTGAAAAAAAGGTGGCAATTTATTGTCCCTTATACTTAAGGAAGGAAGGCGAGCAAATGTTGTGCATGACCTGCTTGGTTACAGTGCCATTTCTCTCTGAAATTCTGAGGAAAATGGGTTCGTTCCCAGGACATTGTTCAGAAGAACAGCGTACCTTGATTAACAAGTTGATTGGAGAGGGGGGAAAAAACATATAAAGAATTGCAGAAAATATGATTCGGGCTGCTCAGCTAAAATTGATGTGCAAATGCATTTAAAATGGCTAACCAAAAACCCGTGAAAGAACGTGGAAAGAAAGCAAAAAACTACCAATGGAATGGATCGAATAATTAGCTAAAATGGTGCGGACTCAGCCAACAATCAGCTCCAGGAAGATGAAAGAAGGTTTGTGACGTTCCCCCTTTGGAGGACTGTTACAAATTAGATGACCCCTATGTGAAGCAAGCTTATCTGCAAGAAGTCCCGCTCAACGTCCCTCTGTTCGGGAAAAAGAACGTGTGCTGAAGAGGTTACAATCTGCCCTAGGAGCACATTGAACTGCCCGTAAAGAGACTGGTGTGCAACATTTTGTGGACTGGATGAAAGTAAGGATTGTTCTTTTTGGGTCTAGTGGCTCTGGAGACAGTTTGTGCAGACGGACCCCCAGACACTGAATTCAGCCACAGTACACTGTGAAGACAGTGAAGCTTGGTGGGTGCAAGCCTCATGATATGGGGATGTTTCTCATACTACGGTGTTGGGTTGGGCCAATTTATCGCATACCTGGGATCCTGGATCAGTTTGAATCCATCAGAATACTTGAAAGAGGTCATGCTGCAAACATCTTGGTTCCAGACCAACAAGATTGACGTTATGGTAGTGGCCAGCCCAATCCCCGGATCTTAATCCATAGAAAACTTGTGGGGGGGCTGACATCAAAAATGCAGTTTCTGAGGCAAAACCAAGAAATAGAGAAGAACTGTGGAATGTGGTCCAATCATCCTGGGGCTGGAATACCTGATCACAGGGGCCAGAATTTGGGTGACTCCATACAACACAGATGTACAGCAGTTCTCAGAAACAGTGCGACTACAACCAAATATTCATGAAGTCATTCAAAGGAAAGCAAAAATCTTCAAACATTTCTCAGTTTATATAGTGAATGTTTGAGTTTGTGAAGAAGAATACAAACACTGCTATTTTTTTGAACCGTCTAATATTCACTTTTCTTCAATTTGTTTAGAGGAAACAACACAAATTTGATGTATTTTTCTTCATTGTTTTGATTTGGAATAGAATGTGTCGTGTTCCAATGCATTTGTGTGTGATGGAAATAAAAGACTATTAGAAGGGATTTTGAGCGTTTATTCACTTTTTTCAACACACTGCTATTATTTTTGAACACAACTGCAAGTGTTGTGCCCAGTTATCTTTTAGTGATCCCATTGTAAATTTTTCCTTCCATCGCTGAGTACCTAAAAAAGGTTTTATCTCCAACTTAATAGGTTTGGCCAATTCCTCCTCTTTCTGTACCTTGGCTGCTCTGATAATGTGTTTGGCTTTCTTTTGGCTATTTTTTTTACACTTCTCTATCAGCTACATCTCCTGTTTCTCCTATATGCTGATTTTTTTCTCTTTCTATCCTACATACCTCTTTAGTGAACCATTTAAGATGTTTAAGTGAAGATTAAGAACCTAAACAAAATGTTCTTTATACCTACATGTCTCATGGAACCCACTGGTCACATTCTTCATTGACCACTACGTGGCCAACAAGTGCACAGCGTTGCAAGAGACGACTAGTTATTTGATGGCTGCATAGAGACAACTGATGGATCGAAGTGTTTCCATGCACATGAATAGAGCATGGAGTTTGTTGTCCAATGCTTGCCAGTACTAGCTGAAGCCTTGAGAAATGAAGGGGAGCACACTATTGCAATGTTGGGTGATTACGGATGAGTACCACTTATCCTATACAGTTGCCCAGTACTTTGCAACACTCAACTCCATCAGTTGTCTCCATGAAGCTATCAAACAACCAGCCATCTCCTGCAGCTCTGTGCAGTTTTTTTTTTTTTTTTTTTCAGAAATGTCTACCAATTCCCTAGATGTTTTTAGGAACTCACAGCCACCTCCTTTTTATATTTCAGCAAAGGTTCAACAGGAAATTGATGAGGTGACACAGTCATTGCGTCTACCTGGAATTGAAGACAGACCTCAACTGCCGTACACCAAATGCCGTCATCCATGAAATACAGAGAGTTCTAGATTTGGCACCAACTGCTCTCTTCCATGCCGTGACCAATGATATCAAGTTCCGTGGATACATCATCCCGAAGGTATACGACTGTGATATACATCAGCCCGTGTTTATGCAAGAGAGTGCAAATAATAAGGAAAATAGTGATGTGACACAGCTAAAAATAAAAAAGGCAACTAAAATCAATAAATTCTGTATGGAGGAGGAAAGTTGTAGGGTATGGGAGCAGGCATATAGGAGTAGGCAAATGATGTATTTCTGCCTGCCAGAAAAATGACCACTTACTTGTACTGCACTTGGCCAAATATTATTATTATATCATGCAGCTGGTTCATTCTGAGTTTTTCTATTAATATTTTATGTTAGCAGAATGTATTCTACTGTTGTGTAGAAAAGGCTTATGAAAAAACAATCCTCTTCCTGTTCGGGCACCTAATACTCCTCGTTTACTATACTCTTCCTCATTATTCCAACATTTACTGCTAGATAAATAAGTTACATTTTCACCCAGACATTCACATGATTTAATTGGCATTGAGCTTGTACAATGTATAATGTGATTGTTCTCATGTATAATAGTGAGTCTCTCCTTTACCAGGGCGCCATCATCATCCCATTCCTGACATCGGTGCTTAATGACCCCTCTCAATGGGAAACACCAGAAAGGTTCAATCCTGGGCACTTCCTGGATGAGGAGGGCCAGTTCCGCAATCGGGTGGCCTTCATGCCATTCTCAGCCGGTAAGAAATCCATAACATCATTCTGTCAGTGCCAGGCTGGGGTAAAGTAAACAATTTCTTCACTGAAATACATAGAAATATATCACACAAGTGTCTGAAGATCTGACTTCTTGTCAGGGGCGGACTGACTATTTGGAAACTCGGGCACTGCCCGAGGGCCCGGGGTCAGTAGGGGGCCCCATGAGATGCCCCTGGCCCCTTTTTCAAAGGCTTTTTTGCATTTGAGCAAGGACATGGGCCCCATGATCCCCTATTGCCCGGGGGCCCCATGAGTTGTCAGTCCGCCCCCTGCTTCTTGTAGAGTTTTTAAAGCAGAGCTCGACAAATCCCAGGTGCCAGTTCACCATGGCTACTAGAAATTGCCTCCTGGCACCTGGCTTCACATACTGCCTCCCATAGACTTCAAAGGGGAAGTCGCGCCCCATAGGCTTTCCGTGGAAAGTCGCGCCCCATAGGCTTTCCGTGGAAAGTCGCGCCCCATAGGCTTTCCGTGGAAAGTCGCGCCCCATAGGCTTTCCGTGGAAAGTCGCGCCCCATAGGCTTTCCGTGGAAAAGTCGCGCCCCATAGGCTTTCCGTGGAAAGTCGCGCCCCCATAGGCTTTCCGTGGAAAGTCGCGCCCCATAGGCTTTCCGTGGAAAGTCGCGCCCCATAGGCTTTCCGTGGAAAGTCGCGCCCCCATAGGCTTTCGTGGAAAGTCGCGCCCATAGGCTTCAGTGCAAAAACTCCTGTCAATAGCATTCCTATATGAACACTTATCTCCGCATGCCACTGTACTCTATCACTTTGTGAGTCTGGACTGCACCACTAAAAACTCACACAGTTAATGATGGCACTCAAAATACAATGCGTGTGGATCGTATCTTTATGAACTACCGTATTTGCCGGCGTATAAGACGACTTTTCAACCCCTGAAAATCTTCTGAAAAGTCGGGGGTCGTCTTATACGCTGGTATACGGCGAGCCGGTGTCAGGGCGGCACTTTTTCCAGGGGCTGGTGTCCTCCAACGGACACTAAGTACAGGGGTGGGCAGAGGGGCTGCTGTACCTTACCTGGCTCCGGTCCCCGGTCCCACGACGATCCGGTCCAGGAAGCGCGGCTGCTCCTTCTTTCAGTTCGGCCGCTCGATGGTCGCTCGGCTCCGCCTCCTCACCGGTGATGGGCGCCTAGCGCACACAGAGGCGGACCAATCACCGGCGATGAGGCGGAGCCGAACGGCCCCCCGCGAAAATCAAGCTGCCGAACTGAAAGAAGGAGCAGCCGCTCCTCTCCCCCACTGACATAACGATGGGGCACTATTCCTCCTCCACACTGACACCAATGATGGGGCACTATTCTCCCTCACTGACACCAATGATGGGGCACTATTCTCCCCACTGACACCAATGATGGGGCACTATTCTCCCCACTGACACCAATGATGGGGCACTATTCCTCCCCCACTGACACCAATGATGGGGGCACTATTCCTCCCCCACTGACACCAAACCATGGGGCACTATTCCTCCCCCACTGACACCAACCATGGGGCACTATTCCTCCCCCACTGACACCAACCATGGGGCACTATTCTCCCCCACTGACACCAACCATGGGGCACTATTCCTCCTCCCCACTGACACCAACGATGGGGCACTATTCCTCCTCCCCACTGACACCAACGATGGGGCACTATTCCTCCTCCCCACTGACACCAACGATGGGGCACTATTCCTCCTCCCCACTGACACCAACGATGGGGCACTATTCCTCCTCCCCACTGACACCAACGATGGGGCACTATTCCTCCTCCCCACTGACACAAACGATGGGGCACTATTCCCCCTCCCACTGACACCAACGATGGGGCACTATTCCTCCTCCCCACTGACACCAACGATGGGGCACTATTCCTCCTCCCCACTGACACCAACGATGGGGCACTATTCCTCCTCCCCACTGACACCAACGATGGGGCACTATTCCTCCTCCCCACTGACACCAACGATGGGGCACTATTCCTCCTCCCCACTGACACCAACGATGGGGCACTATTCCTCCTCCCCACTGACACCAACGATGGGGCACTATTCCTCCTCCCTCCACTGACACCAACGATGGGGCACTATTCCTCCTCCCCACTGACACCAACGATGGGGCACTATTCCTCCTCCCCACTGACACCAACGATTGGGGCACTCCTCCTCCCACTGACACTAATGATGGGGCACCTCATTAGTGTCAGTGGGAGGAGTAGTAGTGCCTCATCATTGGTGTCAGTGGGAGGAATAGCACCCCATCATTGGAATACCATACTGAAATACCATACCATATTGAAATCAAATCTGATGTTTTTTCATTTTTATTTGGTGTGCGTTGGAAGAGGGGGTAGTCTTATACGGCGAGTATAGTTCAATTACCCTATATTTTAACAGGAAAAGTAGGGGGTCGTCTTATACGCCGGCAAATACGGTACCTCAATAGGAACACAAAAATCTAGCCTGACATGCGAACCTGTGAGTTTCAGAACCGGTCCAGAATCACGTACAATATGTGTGAACTAGGGAGGCTCTATTCACACCTGGGAGTTTTAGGATCGCAGCAAAATTGTTGTGATCAGCAAAATGCAGGTTCAGGTGCCATTATTTTCAATAGGGCCTACAACGTGGTGCAGTTTTGCTGTGATTGTCACCAGGCAAATTGCATTGTGTGAAGTCGCGGGCGCTGACAACCCATGTTACGCTAAAAAAACCTGATTCCTAACTTTTTTAGCTAGCTTCTAGATTCTAAGCAAATGTTGTCAAGCCCTGTTTTTAAAGAGACCTTGTTGCCTTGCCCACTTAGGGAAAAGAGACACCCTCAACCACCTTATACTTCCCCCTTACCACCTTCACAGTGCTCCATTGCCAGTCCTTCCACTGTCATTCATCCTGCAGAATATCCATTGTTGGAGCTTACATGGGATGCTGATGTCATCCCTCAACCATGTGACAGTGTTCTGGCCTAGTTATTAGTCACTAGTCCCAAGGACTGCATCACAGGTGTGGATCATGTCTTCTTCATACTTGGAAGCACTGGGTATTTTGTGACCAACAGAAGGAGTGACGGGAGGATTGTGAAGATGGATATCAGATTGTTGGGATATGGGCTTTAAACAGACCTATTACATTGTCCTGAACAGACAAGGAGCCAGACAAGGAATAAACACTTCATTCAAGACTGAAAAAAAAAGGCACTAAAATTCAGTCATAGAGCCCAACCTAGGTCTTCTATTTCTCATCCAGGAAATGATGTCATCCTGTTGCCTATAATTTTTCTTAGACATTTGGTGCTAATAGGAGATTCTATAATCCAAAAGACTCATAGAATAATTTATTGCCAGGATCACCTCAGCTGAATGGTTTGCTGTCTCTCTGGTGCCAGGGTTCGGCATGTATTGGACCAGGTTGATGAATTACTGGGAGGGGCTGGGCATGACCCAGCTGTCTTGGTCCGTGTTGGAACCAATGACCAAATACATGGAAGGTGGAGGCTTAAGAGTCAATTTAATAAAAAAAACTAGGCTGCAAGTTGAAGGGAAGGACCTCCAAGGTGATATTCTATGAAATATTACCCGTGCCATGCGCAACACAGGAAAGACGGGGAGATTAGAGAACTCAATGCATGGCTAAAGACCTGGTGAAAGAGGGAACGATTTGGGTGTCTAGAGCACTGGGCTGAACTGTCATTGGGGTACAACCTATCTGCTAAAGGTGGTTTGCACCTAAATGGAGGGGGGGTCTGCTGTGCTAGGGGAGAGGTTGGTTTATGAGAAGGCTGGAGGAGTATTTAAACTAGGATTGAGGGGGGAGGGAGAATTAGATTACAATGGGGCAGACAGGTCTGACAGGGGTCAGTCCCTATTGGTGGGTGGAATGGGTAAAGATAGGAGGAGGGCTATGGCAGGTGATAAAGAGGTTCCCATGTTACAAACAACCATTGGAAATGGTACTATTTGTACTAAAATAAAAAATATGCAAAATGCGTGTGCAAAATGTGACAATGAATTCAAGTGTATGTTCACCAATACCAGAGGTCTGCCAAGTAAAATAGGTGAGTTGGAAGTGTTGGTGCACAAAAAGAACTATGAATGAATTGGTATTGCTGAATCTTGGTTTCATTCTTCACATGACTGGGCCATTAATATTCCTGGCTATGTTCTCTTTCGGAGAGACAGGGTAAATAGGAAAGGTGGTGGTGTCTGTCTCTATGTGAGAAGTGATCTCAGACCGAGTGTGAAAGAGGACCTGGTTGATGGAAAGTGTGATGAGGCTGAAGCATTATGGGTGGAACTGCACATGGGGGTGCGTACTACAAAGGTAATCAGAGTTTTTTTATAGGTGGAGACTCAGCTCCTTGCCTAGATAGAAAGGGCTGTGACAGTGATAATAATGGGGGATTTTAACTACACAGAAATGAACTGGAGTAATGGCACTGCAGGAACAGTTAAAGGGCAAAAATGTTTTAAACTTATTACAAGACAATTTTATGGTACAATTCATAAAGTCCCCAACTAGGAATGATGCTCTGCTGGACCTGGTAATCTGAAACCATACAGAGCTTATTACTAATGTTTCATATAAAAGAAAATCTGGGTAGCAGTGACCATAACATGATTTAATTTAATGTTAGTTGTAAACAACGAGCACATACTGGAAAGATAAAAACACTCAACTTAAGTAGAGCAAATTTTCCAAGGATGAGGCTGTTCTCTAGGACTTAGACTTGGAGGGAATATTGGCATCCATGAACACAGGACTAAAAATGAGAATTCTTCAAAAAGACTATATGTGAACACACTGAAAAATACACTATATTGCCAAAAGTATTGGGCCGCCTGCCTTTCCACGCACATAAACTTTAATGTCCCCCCAGTCTTAGTCCGTAGGGTTCAATATTAAGTTGGCCCAACCTTTGCAGCTATAACAGCTTCAACTCTTCTGGGAAGGCCGTCCACAAGGTTTAGGAGGGTGTCTATGGGAAGGTTGGACCATTCTTCCAGAAGCACATTTGTCAGGTCAGGCACTGATGTCGGGGGAGAAGGCCTGGCTTGCAGTCTCCGCTCTAATTCATCCCAAAGGTGTTCTGTGGTGTTGAGGTCAGGACTCTGTGCAGGCCAGTCAAGTTCCTCCACCCCAAAACTCACTCCTCCATGTCTTTATGGACCTTACTTTGTGCACTGGTGTGCAGTCATTTTGGAACAGGAAGGGGCCATCCCCAAACTCTTCCCACAAAATTGGGAGCATGAAATTATCTAAAATGTCTTGGTATGCTGACGCCTTAAGAGTTCCCTTCACTGGAACTAAGAGGCCAACCCTTAAAAAACAGCTCCACACCATAACCTCCACTCCACCAAACTTTACACTTGACACAATGCTGTTAGGCAACTACTGTTCTCTTGTCAACCACCAAAACCCAGACATGTCCATCAGTTTTCCAGACAGAGAAGCATGATTGGTCACTCCAGAGAACACGTCTCCACTGCTCTAGAGTGCAGTGGCGGTGTGCTTTACACCACTGCATCTGACGCTTTGCATTGCACTTAGATGCAGCTGCTTGGCCATGAAAACCCATTCCATGAAGCTCTCTATGCACTGTTGTGCTAATCTGAAAGGCCACACGAAGTTTGGAGGTCTTTAGCTATTGACTCTGCAGACAGTTGGCGACTTCTGCGCACTGTGCGCTTTAGCATGTGCTGACCCGCTCTGTCATTTTACATGACTTAAAACTTGGTGGCTGAGTTGCTGTTGTTCCCAGTTACTTCCAATTTGTTATAATCCCACTAACAGTTGAGCGTGGAATATTTAGTAGCCAGGAAATGTCATGGATGGACTTATTGCACAGGTGGCAACCTATCACGGGACCACGCTTGGAGTCACTGAGCTCCTGAGAGAGCGACCCATTCTTTCACAAATATTTGTAGAAGCAGTCTGCATGCCTAGGGGCTTCATTTTGTACACCTGTGGCCATGGAGGTGATTGGAATACTTGAATCCAATGATTTGGAAAGGTGTCAATTCTTTTGGTAATATAGTGTATATATACTAATCTCTATATCATTTATAAACAAGTTAAACAGAATTGGTCCCGGGACAGAGCCCTGGGGCACCCCACTCACAACTCCTGACTATTCAGAAGTTACGCTGTTTATCACCACCCTTTGCATTGCCCCTGCAACCAACTTTCTCTCCAGGTATATACACTATTGTTGATGCCAGCAGACCTCAATTTGCACATTAAGCGTTTATAGGGTATCGTGTCAAACGCTTTGGTGAAATCTAGATACACTACATCCACCGGCTTTCCTCTATCCAGATTACAGCTCACTTCCTCATAGAATGTTAACAGGTTGGTCTGGCAAGAATAATCTTTCATAAAGCCATGCTGGTTACCGCTAATGATACTTTTTTTTCATCAGCAAATTCTTGAATATGGTCCCTTATCATCCCCTCCAACAGTTTACAAACTATTGGATTGGTGAATCCCTACATTAATCTGGGGATTCCCTCCTCAGTTCTTGTTCTGCATTGATCTATAACCTTGTGTGCACATTATTTCTAACAAATATTGTATTTACAATTAGTGTCATTATAATATGTGTTACTAATCTGGGCTGAGCAAATCTTTGATGCATTTGATAAAATATTAAACAGAGTAAAACAGCCATGTTGTTTGTGTGGATTCATAACTCTGCCTCATTTTCCTCAACCTCAACTCTTCTACAGGAAAGCGTGTTTGTCCCGGAGAGGGTTTGGCCCGAATGGAGCTCTTCCTTCTCCTCTCTGCTCTGCTCCAGAAATTCACCTTCAAGCTGCAAGCTGCCCCCAGGAGATGAGCGTCGGGACTCCAAATGGCTGCATGCTAATAAACGTGACGTTGTGTCTAATGCTAAGCTATGTGCCGTGCCCCGAGCATTACCCACCAAGTAACTTGTTATGAAAAAAGCATCTTAGGGGTTTGTGATGGACCTCATCATAGGGGTTTGTGATGGACCTCATCTTAGGGGTTTGTGATGGACCTCATCTTAGGGGTTTGTGATGGACCTCATCTTAGGGTTTGTGATGGACCTCATCTTAGGGGTTTGTGATGGACCTCATCTTAGGGGTTTGTGATGGACCTCATCTTAGGGGTTTGTGATGGACCTCATCTTAGGGGTTTGTGATGGACCTCATCTTAGGGGTTTGTGATGGACCTCATCATCTAGGGGTTTGTGATGGACCTCATCATAGGGGGTTTGTGATGGACCTCATCATGGGGGTTTGTGATGGACCTCATCATAGGGGTTTGTGATGGACCTCATCTTAGGGGTTTGTGATGGACCTCATCATAGGGGTTTGTGATGGACCTCAATATAGGGGTTTAATAATAATATAATAATAATAATAAACACAATTAACACTTTTGCATGTTTTTTTTTCATCTGTCCAAACTGTTTAAAAACAATATTATAAAAATCAGTTGGGCCCCGCTCATGTATAAATAGTTACATACAAAATACATAGATTGCAAGAGAGACAAATTGTGGACACGTCTTCAAATCTGCCCATAGACCAGACAAAAATGTTATAAATGAAATGTTCAATCCAGGTTATGTTCAATCCAACTTATGTGTAGCAAACAGCAAATAAACACCATCCAAGCACCTGTATCAGTGTATTTCTCCATTGAACTCTACAAGGATAATTCAACCAGGTTAGAAATATGGTGCATTTTTCCACACGTGTAATATTGTAATATCACTGAATAGTTTATCCTGTTGGATCAATGTAGTAATGTTGCTTCTTAGGCCACTGTAAATATAGACCACCAGAGTTGAAAATCTAATATAAATGCTCATGTGGTGGTACTGGGTTCCTGCTTGGACAGTCCATGCAAACTCCAGATGTAGAGATAAATGCTTCATGAATTGTGGCCAGCAAGGGGATGTCTTACATATTTTGGTCGTGTCTGCAGTTGACTGGTTTTTGGTCCAGAGTCTTTGATCTCTTTAGATACTGTTTCACCTGACGATTGTTAACCACTTCCAGTCCAGGGCAATTTTCAGCTTTCAGCGCTATCATACTTTGAATGACAATTGCGGGGCCATGCAACACTGTACCCCTGAATTTTTTACCATTTTTTTGAGACAGATAAAGATATTTTTGGTGATTTTTCACCGCTGGGATTTTTTTTTTGAAAAAATAGTCCTAATAAATAATTGGCATCATAATATCTCATGGCCCTTTATTCCGTTCTTTTTTGTCAAAAAAAAATCCCAATTAGTCTATAACCAAAAATTTTTTTTAAACTTTTTTTTTTTTTTACATTTTTATTTTAATTATTTTTATATTTTTATTTATTTTTTTTAACATACTGTCACCCTAGCAGTACAGTGTCACCATGGTGACACTGTACTACTTGTTGGGGGTGATGAAGATTTTTTTTTTTATATACTGATTGCCACATGTATAGGATATAAAAGCAATCATTTCTCTTTCTCTCTGTCTGCACTCTTGCAGTCATTGATAACTACTGAGTGAGCTGTGAATGGTCACATGGTACAAGACTGTTGTGAAAAGCCTTGTACCATGTGACCTCTGTGATCATTCACAGTTTCACACGTAGATAAGCAATGATGTCTGACATTTTCTTACTATTTGCATGTGATCACTGTTGGCCAATCAGGGATGTCACATGATTTGGGTCGTGTCTGCAGTCCGACGACGGTGTTTCATTGCGTCCAGGAGGACACAGCGGGCACCGGATCGCAGTGCTCGCTCTTACATGCTGGGACTGTTTATAAAACTACCACCCGACCCTGCGATTGTTAAGGATGCCATGTTAGCTCCACTACATTGCCTCATTCAGAAATTTGCTTCCAATTTATTTTTTGTCTGCTAAGCGGACCATTCCACAGGCCTGGAAGAAAAAAACCAACTGTCTTCTTTTAAGGAGCGAAAGACCATATGACCACTTTAATGATCAATGAACAGAAGTCCAGCATATTAAAGGGCTCTCTCACTAAGTTTCTCAAAAATGTGGCATCTTGGATCGATTATTCTTTCCCTTCTTTGCACCTGGCCAGTTTTGGCCGTTTATAGTTGATGCCTGAGATGGTCCTGAGTCTATGGTACCTCTTTGCCCTCTCTTCCCCCCTCCCTTCATTCTATTCCTTTTTATTTACTCATATTTTCTTAGGTTCTTTCATATTTTCTGGTTGCATCCATTGATATGAAACCTGCTTTTATGGAACTTGCCGAATTCTGAATTTTTTTTTTTTAGTATTTGAATCAGACTCCCCATACAGTCGACTTAATCTTAGTGTTTGATTCATTTGGATACAATGTATATTTGCTATTCTGTGTCATTTCTTAGCCCCCTTGTTGTGGGTGCACTTGGAGCATGTTATGTTTTTGGAAAATGAAAATAAAAATTATTGAAAAGAAAATGTAATATAAAGACAATACTCTGAATATATTTGTATATTGTTGTCATGATGCTATTCAACAACTTCCAACTATTCTGGACAAACAGGAGATTGAATGTTTAGATGAATCCAAAAAATGTATTTGTTAGGTGAGTAGTAATTAGAGCCCCAGAGTCATGACAGTGGCAGGTGTAAGGGCTCATGATTCGTATTTTACCAGTAGCAGCTCTTTTTCAGTATCATACACAGATGAACATAGGATTACCTTCAGCAATTCCACTGGAAATCTCTTGAGGATTTTAGTACAAAACGAAAGAGTTCAAACTACCCTTGGGCAAATGACTGCATGCTAATACAATGCTGAGCTATGTGCTGTGCCCCCAGCCGTATCCACCAAGTAACCTGTAACATCCTCAGATATGAAGGGGAACTCCTTTTACACTTCAATACCGGGCACTTTTACCCCCTTCCTGCCCAGGCCAATTTTCAGCTTTCAGCACTGTTGCACTTATGTTATAATTTTTTTTTCAAGTAAATAGAGCTTTCTTTTGGTGGTGTTTAAACCCCACTATATAAAAATGATGCAGCGCTAACAATAAAGCATATATAATACACTAAATATAATGACAAATGACCCAAATCCACCGGGGGAATATGGAAAAAAACATAACCCTTAGCAGGTAAATAATAGTGGCTTAGTGCAAGATACAGTGTCCATAGTTCATATCTTTAAAACGTGCAGGTGAATCACAGCACACTCCAAACGTGATCTCAGGCAGTCTGGCTGCAATGGCCTCTCACCTCCACTCTATGACCCCACAGGGCCACAAAGCATATTGCAGATCACCTCTGGGTCCCTCCAACCAGTAGCTCCTCAGAGAAAAATGGCATGGGCGGACATCACATGAATATGAACAACCTCCAGCCAGACCAGTGGACAAACGGAATGTACCCTCCTCAGATGTCAGAAAGCTCATATGCTCATAAATGAGGAGAGAAACACAATCCTCATAGTGTATTACTGCTTTTTAATGGCCAGACAGTCACAGTAAGCCAAGAAAACAGAAAGGTATACACTTACATAACAGCAGCTAATTTCCCCATGGATTGGGTGTACAGCATGATCAAAAGGTGTTCCAAAATGGCGCCACGCGGAAGTACGTCACCACGCCCTGTGGGGTCATAGAGTGGAGGTGAGAGGCCATTGCAGCCAGACTGCCTGGGATCACGTTTGGAGTGTGCTGTGATTCACCTGCACGTTTTAAAGATATGAACTATGGACACTGTATCTTGCACTAAGCCGCTATTATTTACCTGCTAAGGGTTATGTTTTTTTCCATATTCCCCGGTGGATTTGGGTCATTTGTCATTATATTTAGTGTATATATATGCTTTATTGTTAGCGCTGCATCATTTTTATATATATGTTTTCATTGTCCTTTTTTTGGTATAGGATAGATGCTGGCGGCTTCTCTTAGCTGAGTGTTGTATCTACCATAAAAGCGCAGGAGGATATATATATTTATTTAAACACCACTGAGTTTTTTATTTTGCTAAATAAAACAAAAGACACCTGAAACTTTTGAAAAAAAAAACACACTTTTCTTTGTTTCCATTATAAAATTTTGCAAATAAATAACAATTCTGCATAAATTTAGGTCAAAATGTATTCTGCTACATTGCTTTGGTGAAAATAATAATAATTGAATTTGTATTTTCTTTGTTATGTTTCTATTTTTTTTTATTACATTTTCTATTTTTTATACTATTATTTTTCAGCACACTGTGACCAAAGCCATACAATGTTACCATAGTAACATTGAACTACTCTGTGCAAGTGATCAGGATTTTTTTTTTTAAGAAACTTTATTGGGTTTTCAATTATACATAACCTCAGCCGTTGAAATCATTCAAGGGTGTATCATGGCAAAACATAGCATCATTAGTAATAGAACTGACAGATTAACCAAGACAGGCAATAATAAATATTTTGCATTGAAAATCTGAGCATAGAAATTCACATAATACTTAATACCTCTGAAGAGTTTTCAGAAAATAATGATGAATCAACTAGATAGCACAGATTCTTGTGCGTTGGAGTAAATAAGACCTACTCCAAGGTGCTCTGGAGATGGGAACTCTGCATACAGGTGACGTCATCAGGTGGGGTTGAGTCACCAGATATCATCAAACCATGGCAGATTTCCTCATTCCAGTAATGTGCAAAACCATCAGATTAAATGCATCTTGTAGTATGGATTTCAGCCATCGGGGGATCATACACTTAAGTGTGAATCGCCTATTAAAACGCACCTTAAAGGGGGGGGGGGGGCTCAAAAATATCAAAAAAATGAGCCGACCAGCCTGCAAAACAACCGAATTAGCCCTGTCTAACAGTTTGCGCTAAAAACAGAGGGTTTTGTTTGCACACATTTTGCAAATATATGCGGAATCCACAGTGCCACACCAAGGGAACTCTGTATATACTCTGCTCCTAATTTAGCATTAGAAGTAATGAACTTT